AAGCTGCTCGGATTGAGTTGGGCAGGTCATTCCACCAGGAGGGAACAGTTAATGAAAAAGTCAGTGAAAGTGATATAAGATATAAGACTCAAGTCACTGGAGTGTGGTTCCTGAGATACAACATGGGTAGAACATTTTCCCTGTTATTTATTTTTTTTTTTTTAAATCAATAACTTTATTTTTTAGTGTCATAATAAATACATTAAATAAGGTTAGAGGGGGGTTAAATGCCCATCTAAATAATAAAATATTTCTAATAATGCGTTTTCTTTGACATAGAATTAGCCAAAATATCTAATTTAGTAATCTTCATATACACCATCATTCATTCGAAAAAAATTGCCACTATTTTAATGACAGTGGAAACAAAGAGCTTGCATGCTCCTTCCGCTAACATACCTGACAATAAAGCTCATTCTGATTCTGATTCTGATTAATTGTTGAGTTAATGGTCACGTGAGAGGAAACTCGCTGGAAAACGTAGGCTAGTCCACGCGTCCTGTCAAAACAACACCTCCTCTACAATAAAATCTCATCAGAATGAACAGGTTGGGTTTTATGATTCATATAATTACAGAATTCATGAAAACAGCTTCATATGCATGGACTCGGATACTTTTTTGGCATAATGTGTTTGATCATCGTGCTGTCACGTTGACGCAAACGAGGCTGTTTTGGACGTAATTCTTCTCTGTGCATTTATATTTAAAAAATTTAAAATACAGTTTATCGAATCCCGTCGTAGTTTGACATGCACAGTATGTGTTTGATTATTTTGATATGGACGAGGGTGCGATGGTTTTGCTGCTCGATAGTTAAACTATCACAGGCTACACCATGTTATTATGTTCTTGGCGCATCTGCTAAATTACACTTAAACAGACGAAATCTAAGACTTATTTGTTAAAAACGTGGCAAGACCACTTATTGTCTATAATACACTGAGGCTGTCATGTTTTAAGTCACCCAATGTAGCGGGTTGAGCAGGTTTGGTCTGTACGGGAGTCTTTGTAGGACAAATTTGATGTTGCCATATATGTTTAAATAAATCACTCTGTTTGCTTTGTGATGTAACATTTCCACGTGAAAAAAGCGAGCAGTGCCCTCTGGCGCTAATCTTCACGCAGTAAGTCATGCTGCATACAGATGTAAGAAAAAAATATACAAGATTACAAAGCAGGACATTCCGCTGATCTGGCAACCCTACACTACACTGAACGAGAGAGGGCGCTACGACTCTGTGTGATTGGCCGTTGGCGGAACAGAGCGGTGTGTGATTGGCTGTTGCAGCGTCGGAGTGGGCTGAGCTCTGTGTGTGATTGGTTGAGCGCAGGGACGGAGGGGGAAAGGCTGAGCTGATCAGCTGGTCTCTGCAGATATCTGACTCCTGCAAAACAATGTAACGTTAGGGAGAAAAAGTGCTCAATGTCTCAATCGCCGGGAGGAGAAACACCGGATCATACACACCGTCGCGGAGCAACCGGATCCAGCACGGCTGAAAGATTTTTTCATCAGCACTGCCGCCTGATTGAGCGAGGATACGCGCGGGACTGCGGTATAATATCTCCAGTCTCATCTGTGTGTGTTTACCTTTGCTGTTTCACTTTCAGTGATGCGAAAGCGAAAAGGCAGCGCAGACCATGACAGCTCGTTCACGGGTACACTACTGGAAGGCAGCTCCGATCTAAAGCAGTGCCCCAAAAAGACAGACGCTGCTTCTGATCCAGGAGGTTCGGGGACAGCGATGGGGAGACGCTACAGGAGGTGAGACTGACAGCTGCTGCTGTTGCACATGTGCCACTGATGTTCGCTGCCTCTATATCTGTTTTTACCAGTGTATGTTTCTGGAAAGCTTGCTCAACACTTTTTTCAACCTATACAGACTCCAGTATTAAAAACAATCTGACCGTGTTGTAACTTTTATTAGTAGTTCTGCATTAGTTAAAAATTGGTTAATAGTTAAAAATAGCAGGAAACTGTTTTACCTACAAATTAGGCTACCTGATGTATATCTTCTCCACTGGCTCCTGGTTAAAAACCCTGGCTCTGTGTTGATTTTAAGTTATGTATCATCTTATGTCTTTTCAGCACCAAAGTCGCATTTGATGCTTGTTAATATGATATTACATGCACTATTGTCATTCCACTCAAATCTTAGTTGGCATTAAGCCACATAGATTATTCTCTGTGATTGAATCACAGTCCCACGTGACTCTCTTGAGACTCTAAACAGTATTTAGGCTGTCCTGCCACAAAACTAGATCAGCAACTTCTGGGTGGGGTGTGAAGTGATTGTTTCGTAAGTATGGCAGTGTTATGGCAGATGCTTGTAAGTCTGGGATATTTGTGCAAAACTACTATTGTGTTTAAAAACTATGTGAAGACAAAATAAGGTTTTTGTGGCTTTTAGTCAACATCTTTTAGCTTTAAGGTCTGTATGCTGTATGCTTTATATTCTAAATAAATATTTATGTATTTATTTATATTTTATTATTAGAGACTATGTTTTATACACACACACACACACACACATATATATATATTTATTTATTATTATTATTTTTAATACGTGACAAGACCATTAATATGTCTTGTCTAAACTTCTTGTTTCAGTAAAACATGTATCAACACAAGAATGCCAGCTTTCTTTAGGTCTGAGCTGCTTGTAGGAAGTGCACAAGCAGCTCAAGAATTATGTTGCATTTTTTTCAGACATTGTTCACTGTAAATCAAATTCTAGTTCAGACGGAAAACCTTGAAATATGGTTTTACATTACCATTGTATATGAATTTGAGGCACAAGTATTGTGCTCTTTGGGAAGTAATTTCTGTTTTTTTTGTCACTGACCACAATCTTTACAATTTTTTAATTGCACTGACCTTGTACATGGTAGCTCTTTTGCTTCAAATAGAGTATTTCTGTCTCAGTCAAGTGGAAGAATCTGGAAAGCCAGATTTAGAGCATGGTTAAATGCTTCAGTGGATGCAAGGTGATATCTTTTGTAGATTTCCTCAAAGCAGAGCTGAGTCATACGGTTCATGTTTTTCTGCTAAATTTAAAATAATGTAAGATTGCATCACTGTAGGAGGATGCATGGTGGGAATAGTCGTGTTCAGCTGTTGTCTAGGCATATCTCTGCACATGACTCAGATTATCAGGCACAATATTAGGCCTTATATGCAAAGGTTCTAGAAATTTCTCCTGTTTGTTTGGTCTTGTGATGGCTGAGTTTAAACAGTAAAAAATTAAGGTGTATGTGTAGTGACGTCATTCTTCTCAGCCAGGACTTGCTCTGCAGATCAAAGTGGGAGGAAGGTGGATGTTCTGGTCCAGCAATATGGTGGTAAAATATTGTACACTCAGCAAAGAAACAATAAGTACTGCCAGAACATGTTTCCAATTGGGATCGTGGAGGATTTCCCACAGATCAGTGCTTCTCAGCTGGTGCGTTGCAACCCCAAAATGCTTTTAAGATAACAGGATTGTATTAGGTTTCATGGTGGCCACGTCACATGGAAATACTAACTGATTTTGAGTGAATTGCCTGTGACCTTTGATCCTGGAGGTCAGTTAGAGATGTGTGTCTCATGTTTGCTAATGTTTCCTTGTTTAACTACTATTCGAAAGGGGAATTTGGGGCATTAATTAAAAAAAAAATGTATTGGAAAAATTATATTTTTCAGCAAGGACGTGCATTAAGTTGATCAAAAGTGAAAGTAAAGGCACTTATAATGTCACAGAAGATTTCTATTTAAAATAAATGCAGTTCTTTTAAACTTTACATTCTTTAAATAATCCTGAAAACAAAATGTATCACAGCTTCCACAAAAAAAAAACAGTAAAATCTAACTTATCCAAAGGATCATGTGATACTGTAGACTGGATTAATGGCTGCTGAAAATTCAGCTTTTGGAATAAATTACATTTTAAAATGTATTCAAATAGAAAACAATTATTTTAAATTGTAATAATATTTTACTATATTTTTGATCAGATAAATGCAGCCTTGGAGAGCATATGAGACTTCTTTTTAATAAATGAGCTTAAGCTGTTATATGCTCTGATTAATCTGATTTATAGTGTGATTTAGCTGTATGTGGAAACACTTAGCTCTTAACTACAATAATATTACAAACAATAATGTTATGTCAGGTAGTTGCAACTGAGCTGATGTTAACTTATGAAAGATTCCAGTATAACAATGCCCTGTTTTAAAAGATGTTGTTTGCCAAAATAGCCTGAAACACTAGCAGGAAATGGTACTGTGTGAAGTTCTACCATCACATCTCATTTGAACTGAAATGCTACTCTAATATTGCACTGTATCTGATGGCACAGTAATCGGACTCTCCTCCGGTGCTGTATGGGTCTGGGGTATTGGGTGCTGGAGCCGGTCATGTGTCCGACACAAGAGCTGCCGCTGGTTAGTCTGGTTGCAGTGACCTTTGTGTGGCAGGCCAGGTTCAAGGTTAAAATGATCAGTTTAGCTTTAATTCACAGGATCTATGAAGTTAAATGAGCTGAAATCCCCATTAACTGTAAAAATTTGTACACGGATATCAAAGTTAAAGACCCCATTAAATTGCTTAAAGAGCACAGTGTTCTTTCCTGTGCTGACTTATTTGTTAATGGAAAGAGGAAATTTGGTTGTCAATATTTTTTCCAGGAAGACAATGATGGCGCATTTAAATATGCGTATCTGTTCTCATTTTTTTACTAGTATCAACAGATGACTTAAAGTTGGCATGAAATGAAAATTCACCATATCTCTTTTCTAAATGCATGTTATTGATCTTATTGTGAATTATTCATCCAAGCATACGTTTAATTTCTACATTTTTTGACCTCATAAGTAATTAAAATGTCACAACTTGATCTTCCGGCGAAACGACAGACTTCTCTCTCTCCAGCTTACATTTTTTATTTCCAATAATCCGTTTTACCTGAATGGACTTGACAATATGAAAGAAAAAGTCACAAAACCACAAAACATCAGTTTTGATTTCATAGGGTCTTTTAAAATAAGTTTCTTGGTTGCATTCCCTTGTTCGTAAAGGCATTCATCTAAAGGAGGGGTGGACTCACCTTCAGCCTAAATAATGAACCCCTGCTTCCCTCTAAACCGTGTCAGTTATTCACTCTGCACATTTCAACCTGAAATTCTGGTTAGGCCTGTCGCAATAATCAATATATCGACCTATCACGCAATATATGTACATGACCTCAATAATTTTTGGTGACGCAATATATCGCACATTATATTTACTTAAAAATAATGTCACCATGTTTTGTACATTCCTAAATATTCTTAAAATTAAAAGTTTGTTGTCATTTGGAAGTGTGTAGGCCTTCTCGCATTATTATGCTGTTACATTTTGATTATATATTCAGTGGCATAAAATGGTCTTTAAAATGACAATAATATCGCTTATCGCAATTATTTCTGGGGCAATATATCGCACAACAAAAAGTTGTTATCGTGACAGGCCTAATTCTGGTCTGTTCTTGCATCCTGGGAACAGGAGCTCTAGATCAAACATAGGCCCAAGAGGCATCCTAATCTTGACAATTTGGTGTCTTATTTTAGCTCTTCTTGTGAAAGTGTGTCAGGTTTGATAGGAAAAATACAGGGTCTTGACAGGGTGTCATCCTCTGAAATCTTTTTTTTTAAATTTCAGAAGGATTAAAAAACAAATCTTGACAATGAATTATCTAAGAAACAAGTTAAGGGTTTTTTTTTTTTTTTGCTTTAGCTAGCATAAGTGTGCTGTGATTTAGCTGTTACACAGTTTGCACCCACTCTGAGAAGATTTCAGTGCACAGTTTTTTTTTCTTTTTGTCAAAAAGGCAGCCACCCATTTGTTGATATTGAATATATGTAGTTTTGCACCTCCTCATACTGGGTTGTCAAATAGTGGCGGTGGTCCTTCCTGAGGCCGTTTGAAGGAGCCTGTCAAACAGAGCCGTAACTAATTCTGGCATCTTTGTCAAAACTGCTCTTCCAAGCTCCGCTGAGCGGTCAGAGACACTCAGTGGGGTGAGTGAAAGAAGAGAAGAGTGAAAGGGAAGACGAAAGGAGTGAGAGAGGAAGTAGAGAGCCTGAGATGTAGCACGTGTCTCTTTTTCAGCCTTAGGAGTGCAGCATCTACAGTTTCACCTATCCTTCGTATGTGTTTTGCCTTATCCCATCCGATTTGCATTATCATTACATAGTTCATTGCAAGGGCAGACTGTGTGGCATGCAATTCCACATCAGCTGTTGTTTAAAGACAAAAGGAAATCAAAACTGACCCATGTACTTCCTTAAAAAAAGTCCTTCTTGTTTATGAACATTATTTTAAACTTTATTTATGTTATTTTCAGTTTCCAGTGCCGTTATAGAAATGCTCACGCCTTGATTCATTTATTCCAAGAATCAAAGTATTTAGTAAGAGGGGAATTACCACCGTAAAGCCAGTTTCCTCTGTAAATACGTCACATTACCAAAGTTAAATGCATTATGAATGCCAGTTCATTTTGTCTAATGGGGGAAGCTAACAGATAACTTCCTGTATTATGTTACCAGATGACGCTGTTTTTTGCTGTGTTAAAAGCAGGAAGCATTAAATTCCTCTTTCTACCCCAGGCTGTTACCAGAACTCGGTTTCTCAATGTCACCTCAATATCTCTCAGAGAGTCCGGTCCGTCAGACCTGTCATAATCCATTACATGTAGCTAGTTTTTGAAAGTGCTCCACTTTTCTCTACTTCTACTGCTTTTTTAACATTCATTCTGCAGTTTAACTGTTGATTTAAAAACTGTCCAGGTCTCATGTCTAGTCCTTTTTTTATAAATCTGTTCTGAAAATCTGATGTTTTCTGAAACAAAGAAAGTTTGTTTTTAGTTTGTTGGGGTGCGTTGGAGCATGTCTGGTTCACAATACATCATTAAGAAAAGCTATCTCTATGGGCGCCCTCAACTTGTGATGGCTTTGAATTAAAATGGAAAATGGATATATGTTTAGACATATGTCTGATGTCCAAATATTGGATATGTATCTGATTCATTGTAAAACCACAATTGGAAGTGGCTCAGAACGGATGTAAAAAAATCAGATCTTTGTGTGGAACAATATAGTGTTTCTACATAATTATTTGTTAGTTTTTTAACTACTTATCTGTTTGCATTATGCAGTATAATGTAAAAAGTATATATATGTTCTTAACTCCCTCCACTTTGACCGCTAATTGATCATGGTCACTGATAGAGCTAGTATTTGGCAGTCGGTGCTCTACAGCCATACCAGGATATTTGGGACATTGATCTGGGCAGCTGCAGCTGAGATGTCTGAAAGCATATCCTATGCCAACGTCTGCCACTTAGGGAGCTGTTGTCTGGTACCCGCAGACATGAGGCAAGCCTTTGACGTCGGACAGAGAAGGAAGAGACAAAAAGTTTTCCTGAGACGTTTTCAAACTGACTTCTTAAGAATCGAGTGGAAGTGATCTAACTGGCTTTCAAGATCACAGTTTGAGGTTGGAGGAGGGGATATGCTGGTTTGATTTGAGCTAAGAAGATACGTTTGAATCTAAAGCCCATGAGATCCGTCAAAAACAAGTCGGCCTGCAGAACCTGAATTTCTTTCTTCTTTGGAATACAAAAGAAGATATATTGAAAAATGTCTCAGTATTTTTTGTTCAGGTTGTTTCTTGTATACTTCAGTGTTCTTGTGTAGTTTATTTAATCCTAAAGTAGGCTTATCGTTCGGTACAGCAGGATCTTAGTGCCTGTCTGCTCTGGTAATACACAGAATTATACATCGGTTCTTTGCCAAATACGCTGACCTGAAAATGACCCAATCATTTATTCATGTAGAATCAGACGTGCATTTAGGGTCTCACTTTTCCTGCATGGTTAATGCCAGGTATATACAATTACACTAAAATGGCTAAATAAGAGTCAAACAACTGCTTAGTTTTATTTTTTGAGCATTGCTGATGTCATAGTAGATTTCAGATTGACCAAAGAAATGCGGTGAGGAGGAATTCTCTCTTATAAATTCTCAATTAATAACTAATGGGTAATTAATAGGTTAATGGGTAACAGAGTTTGATGTCTATATAAATATTGTGCTGCTGACTGCTGCCAATCTGCGACTTCTGAATAAACTCACTAGTGGTTTTTCACGTTTTAAAATCTTATCTCTATTTTAAGATGTATGCACTTTACTTGGTGATTTCAGAGTGTGAAGTGTTGTGGTGTATGAGTGTTTGGCTGTGTAGGAGGTTAGTGTGTTGGAGGTTATCATTTTTAGAGAGTTGCATCCTGTCAAACGGAGAGACAGACACACACACACACACACACACACACACACACACACACACACAAATGGAAGTAAATTACTAAGGTGGTGCACTAGAACATAACCAAAACTGTCAAATTACAGAGCAATCAGCAGTGAAAAATGAATCAGTGCAGTGATTCATGATAAATATTATGCTCTAAAGCATGACGGTAAACTGAGTAAAGGTTCCCATCTCTCCACGTACAGTACCTTTCAGAAGTTTGGGGTTGGTAAGATTTTTTCCTTTTTCTGAAAGAATTGTGTTATGCCCACAAAGTCTGCATTCATTTGATTAAAAAACAGTAATATTGTGAAATATTTTAACAATTTGAAAGATTTTTTATAGATATTTTGAAATGTAATTTGTTCATGATCTGGAAAAGCTGTCATTACTCCAGTCTTCACAGTGTCACATGATCCTTCAGAAATCATATAATATACTAAAAATATACAAATTTGGTGTTCAACATTTCTTATTATTATCAGTGTTAAAAATGGTTGTGCTGCTTAATATTTTTAAAGATTATTTGATATGAATAGAAAATACTGTACGCTACAGTATATTACATGAGATGCTGGTTAGTCTCTCACTGTCTGTATAATGCATGAGGCAGACAAGTGCATGTGTGCAATCTATTTGAGTCAGTATCCAAGAGAATTATATGCATTGCATATACATGTTGTGACACTTAATTTAATATATGAACAAGCTTTCTGTTTATATTTTTGGCCAAGATTTTCAGCCTATTTTCTCTCATTCCTTCCTGTCTTTTTGCTCAGTGCACTACTCAGAAACACTCTGTCCCAGTGCAGTCTGGACTCCTGATGCCCAGACAGCTGTAATAATGCCCATATGGCATTGGATCAGCATGACTTAACATATTAGTGTTACCCTGAAGGTGTTGAAGCTCTGGTTCGGATGTTCTGTGCAGACATTCACCAGCAAAAATGGCGTGTACAAGCACAGAACTGCATCTTATAACCTAACCAGCCAGCCACATAGACAAATAAATGGCTAGTTCCAATGGATACTATTGCGTATATAATCAATAACATCCAGAAAGTTTATACACACACACACACACACACACAACACTTTAATTTGTATATTAGGCACACACAAACACATACAGTAAGAGCTCAGGGCAGTAAGTCAGACAGGGTGAGTTTGACAGACTAAGTGATCTCTTGCTTTCTCTGTAATTTTAATCATGACACTTTATACTCCCCGGCACAATTTAGAGGTCACTGCTGGCCACAAAGATGCTTACTGTCTGACCTCTGAGTGTGAGGGAGACCGAGAGAGGACAGGCCATGTTATGAGGATCGTTAACCCTTCAGTTCAAAAGAGAAGAGTATGTCTGAAAACATTCCCAAACGAACACTTTTGTTCACATCTTGTACTTACACAATTCTTTCATGTGATTTTTTTTATTTTTTATTTAAAAACATCATTTAATATAGCCACAAGAATGTATGCTTCAACTGTCCGAAGTGTTTACTTTATTTACTATACCTGTGTTAAAGGAAACAGAGTTTTATGTAATCTGTTCTCCTCTCTCTGTCTGCAGGGGTGGTCTAATGTGGAGGCTGAGGAAGATACTGATCTGGGTGCTGGGAATCTACATCACCATCCCTGTTATCATCAAAGTCTGTCCATCAATACAAGCAAAATTAGTATTTTTAAACTTTGGCATTGGATCAGCATGACTTAACATATTAGTGTTACCCTGAAGGTGTTGAAGCTCTGGTTCGGATGTTCTGTGCAGACATTCACCAGCAAAAATGGCGTGTACAAGCACAGAACTGCATCTTATAACCTAACCAGCCAGCCACATAGACAAATAAATGGCTAGTTCCAATGGATACTATTGCGTATATAATCAATAACATCCAGAAAGTTTATACACACACACACACACACACACACACACACAAACAGCAGTATTTGTGTAAACACTGTACAGTAATGAATCTGTGTGTGCTGTATTTAGCTCTGCTGTTGCACAATAGTCTTGCTCTCCCTCTTTATCACAGTCACCTTGCACTCTCACACACAAGCAAAAACTCTCACACGCACCACATGGACACACACACTCAGATCAAACCTTCTGTGACTCACTGTCAAGTGACCACACCGTCTTATCTCTGGAGGGAACTCAAGATCAGCCACCTGCTGCACCTGGAATAAGTATTCTGCAAGTTCTAGTGGAATAAGTATAATGCAGTTAGAACTGTGGCTTATTGGTTATTTGCATGCTGGCACATTGATATGTGGCTTTGAGTTCTCCATCATCTTATTCCATCATTTCCCATCATCCTTTCCATAAACGCAGAAAACAATTGATTCTTTTATTCAGTTTGTTCCAATTTGTTTACATTGTAAATTGAAATTCTAACCTGTCTTTGTTCTTCATACTAGTTAGTCGAGTACAGTATTAGATGATCAAAATGAGCATGTGTGTTCTGAAGGAGGCAGAGGAAAGGTCGTAGGGATGTTAGATGCCGTGGTGGAATTGATCCAGGGTCAGCCGGATCAAACCGGATGCTCAGCTTTGGCTCGCGCTTCCTGGATTATTGCTTTTACTCTTCTTTCACCCTGTCTGGGACATTCTCTCTCTTCTTCATGTCCTGTCTTTGCTGACTCTCTCTCAGTTCTGCATTATTAATAGTTTTAGGAATATTCTCGAGGTTTCATACGACTGCATCTTTACTGGGTACATTTTCTGTGAAGAAACCAAAATGTATACAGTATATACAGTGCTGTTCAAAAAATCTGGGGTCTTTAAATTTTTTTTTTGAAAGAAGTCTATTATGCTCAACAAGGATGCATTTATTTGATTAAAATACAGTAAAAACGGTAATATTATAAAATAATATTACAATCAACTGTTGTCTGTTTTAGTATATTTTGAAATGTGTTTTATTCCTGTGCTGCAAAGCTGAATTTTCAGCATCCATTACTCTAGTCTTCATGATCCTTCAGAAATCATTATAATATGCTAATTTGTGCTGCTTAATATTTTTGTGGAAACCATAATACAGTTTTACATATATATAATGTGTATGAGAGAGCTTGCGTGTGTGTGTGTGTGTTAGTATTTGAGAGTTTAAGTAATCCCCTGGTCATGAGTTAGGTAGGAAAATTCCTTACACAGTTTAAGGAAATGAAACCAGCTCAATAAAGCAGCTTTTCACCACAAACCTCCTAGAATCGGAAAGTCACACTTTAATTTGTATATTAGGCACACACAAACACATACAGTAAGAGCTCAGGGCAGTAAGTCAGACAGGGTGAGTTTGACAGACTAAGTGATCTCTTGCTTTCTCTGTAATTTTAATCATGACACTTTATACTCCCCGGCACAATTTAGAGGTCACTGCTGGCCACAAAGATGCTTACTGTCTGACCTCTGAGTGTGAGGGAGACCGAGAGAGGACAGGCCATGTTATGAAAGAGAAGAGTATGTCTGAAAACATTCCCAAACGAACACTTTTGTTCACATCTTGTACTTACACAACAATTCTTTCATGTGATTTTTTTTATTTTTATTTAAAAACATAATTTAATATAGCCACAAGAATGTATGCTTCAACTGTCCGAAGTGTTTACTTTATTTACTATACCTGTGTTAAAGGAAACAGAGTTTTATGTAATCTGTTCTCCTCTCTCTGTCTGCAGGGGTGGTCTAATGTGGAGGCTGAGGAAGATACTGATCTGGGTGCTGGGAATCTACATCACCATCCCTGTTATCATCAAAGTCTGTCCATCAATACAAGCAAAATTAGTATTTTTAAACTTTGGTGAGTATTTTCAGGGAATGTTTTGGCCAAACTGTGTGTAAACATTGATATTTAGACCAGAGGTTGGCATTCAGACATCAGAGTTTTTAAAGTTTATTTGAGTTTTTTAGACATACTTTTGTTATCTTTGGCTCATGTCTTGGTCAGTCTTTGTCAACTTTGGAAACTATGTTTGTTTTTTAGCACTTTGAGCATTTAGTCTAGTCTTTGTGAACATTTGTGAGTTCTTTGTAAATATTTGTGAGTATTTAGGCCTATCTTTGTAAACTTTTTATTTATATACATTTTTAGGGAGTATCTTTTTAAACTTCGAGTATCTAGCCTGACCTGTTTTACCCTTTATATTTAGACCATTCATTTTCCATTTGCATTTTGTTTATTCAAGCTAAACTGCCATGTAAGTTGTCATTATTTTGGATGCTACATTAGTTTCTGTTGATTTTTAAATTGAATATGGTAATATGGGTCAGTTTCCATAATTTTATGCTGTTGCATATGTAGTGAAAGGACAAGCTTACGACATTTTGCCTGAAGGGGAATGTAGTATAGTATCCAAGGAGATTGTTACGCTGCATTTTCCCCTGTGAAATATTCAGCAGGCTCAGAACAACTCTTAAGAAACATTCAGTCACGCACGCTTTTGTAGTCACTTTTGATCAATATAAAGACCCACAATCTACTTTGTTTTTAATTACTGATGCCTCAGCGCCTGTTTTGCAACATAATGTCTTTTGTTTAAAGTGATGTTCATCACAGAACAGAATCTACTGGATCTCATGCCATTTAATAAGACATTTTGAAACGTTGGGAGTTTGAATCCATAGTCAGCCTTTCGCTGAAACGACCAAACAAAGATATCATTCACCCATCAATCCAGATAAATGCCCACTCTGTTTGCCGCTGTCTCACTCCCAACAGCCTCTCACACACGTCTCTCAGTCTTATCAAATAATTCCTGTCACATCATAGTTTCATTTCTCTGGTATTAGTCACGTTCTGTTGTGTTTTGGGCTGATGTTAGCATTAGCATTTTCAGCAGTGGCACACTGCTTCTGTCAGCTGATGTGTTTCTTCACACTATGTTCTGCTACTGTTTGCAGTCTGAGCTAATAATGCACAGCATGGGTGTAAAAGTGTGACTGTAAGCATCCCTGTGTCTGCTTTACTCAGAGAAAAATCTGTGACTAAGGTCGGTAAACTTAGTCAAGTCATCAGTCTCCTGAGAAAGCTTGTGGCACACTTTCGGTTCTTAAGTGGCAAACTTGAGTTTCTTGCTGCAAAAACAGCCATAATTCAAATTTACATGACTGTTTTCCATTCTCAGACCAAACATGGCCGTTTGAGGAATTGCAAAAACTTTTGTATTAAATTATTTACCAGCATAACTTTATTTGTAAATGTTCAATAACACTTTATTATTCTGTCAAAATGTATCCGTATTGAAGAGACTAAATAAATCTCACCCATCTAAAAACTCATCAGGAGTTGACTGAACTGTACTTTACAGAACAGCTTTACACTTTTTAGCATACACAGAACATGTTCTTTGTGTGAAAAATCTAATTTATAATTACAGTAGAATTGAACAATCTTTTTTGCTTTTATTTGACCAAAAATAAAGTTAAAAGTGATATTGTGAAATATTAGAAAATGTAATTTATTCCTGTGATGCAAAGCTGGAAACTTTGGTGAGTATTTTCAGGGAATGTTTTGGCCAAACTGTGTGTAAACATTAATATTTAGACCAGAGGTTGGCATTCAGACATCAGAGTTTTTAAAGTTTATTTGAGTTTTTTAGACATACTTTTGTTATCTTTGGCTCGTGTCTTGGTCAGTCTTTGTCAACTTTGGAAACTATGTCAGTTTTTTAGCACTTTGAGCATTTAGTCTAGTCTTTGTGAACATTTGTGAGTTCTTTGTAAATATTTGTGAGTATTTAGGCCTATCTTTGTAAACTTTTTATTTATATACATTTTTAGGGAGTATCTTTTTAAACTTCGAGTATCTAGCCTGACCTGTTGGAAACATTTCTTATTATCAATGATAATAAAACTTGTCGAAAACAGTTGTGCTGCTTAATATTTTTGTGGAAGCCATGATACATTTTTTTTCGAGATTCTTTAAATAGAAAGTTGAAAAGAACAATATTTCTTTTAAATAGAAGTCTTTTGTAACATTATTTTTTTACTGTCACTTTTGATCAAGTTAATGCTGAATAAAAGTATTAATTAAAGGACTTATTTCCTTTCCGGATGATAATTTCATTCTGATATCTGACGCCCACTTTTCAAGATCCCATCAATTTCCCGATTGAAAAAAATCTATATTCTGTTTGACTCAGAAATACATCAGATTCAGTTTCATGTTGACTATTTTCTGTCTCTCTCTTTCAGTGCGAGTGCCATATTTTATAGATCTGAAGAGACCACAGGATCAGGGCTTGAATCACACTCGCAATTTCTACCTGCAGCCCGAGGAGGGAATCAACATTGGAGTGTGGTGAGAGCACAGACACAGACTACAGCTAAAATACAGACACAGCCTGGCCTACCTCCACCATCCATCTCTCTGCCTATGCCTTTCTGTCTCCCTGTCCTCACGTTCTCTACCCTACAGCTTTCTGTCCCTCTCTATCTGCCTTATGGCCATGGCTGTCTTTCTGAAGGGTGTGGAAAAAGTCCTGCACTTGTTGAAATGCAGCCTGTGGCCCAAAATGTGTAAATCCGTAGTGACAGAGGACTGCACGGGCTGTGGGCTGCTGGCCATTGAGTGTGACTGTGTGTGTGTTTGACTTTTATTAAGTAACAGTGGGAAGGGCCATATAAGCTTCCTGCAGCTGATGCTGTAATTTTCTCTGCATAAATAAGCTTGTCTGTGCGCTGGTCAGATTCAGTATTGAATAGGAGAATCTTTGATAATAAAGTCTTGGGGAAGTGAACAGGATATTTTAAGCCGTTAAAGACTACACTACCATTCAAAAGTTTGGGGTCAGTAAGATTTTTTTTTTATATATAATAAATAAATAATAATAATAATAAATAATGTGTTTTTTTTTTACCTTAAACACATTTCATTACACCAAATACACAAAATAATGTTCTTTTTTGCAGCATCATATGACCCCTTTAAGGCTGGAATGCACTACATGACTTTTGCCCTGATTTATAGTCTGGAAGATCAGATCTGCGGATTTGACCAAAAGTCATGTAATGTATGATGTGCACCAACTATGATTCTGTCTAGTCACTGGAGATCAAACCTGTTTAATATTTTGAGCCAATTTTAGAAAGTGTATTATCTTCATTTGTTATGTGTGTACTAGCAACAAGGTGTGTATTTTTGTATGAGTCTGTTGTGTTCGGAATGATTTGAAAGTCTGGTAGTGTGTAATCCCCGGTTAGTGAATGGAGCCCAGTTTTTCTTCTGTAACCATTTACATTTTGACAAATTTGCAGTTTGTCAGATGCAATTCTCTGGTCGTTTTACTTAAGTGTGTTTTTGTGTTTGTTTTAGAGGAGGGGATCACAGAGTTCAGCTGTACAAGGTAAAAGAAAAAAAGAGCAACTGCTTTGAATTTACACTACCATTCAAAAGTTTGGGGTCAGTAAGATTTTTTTCTTTATTTATTTGTTTGTTTTAGAGGAGGGGATCACAGAGTTCAGCTGTACAAGGTAAAAGAAAAAAGAGCAACTGCTTTGAATTTACACTACCATTCAAAAGTTTGGGGTCAGTAAGATTTTTTTCTTTATTTATATATTTTTTAAGAATTTCACCCAAAGAGCGCACATCCAACAGGCCAAAAGCTCAATGTGGGTGCTCAAGTTGCTCAACCACAAAAAGTTGCATAAAAGAAGATCAAAGCTGGCACACCACAGCTCCAAAATTAGAAAAATATGTTCTCACCACACCTAAAAGCTTTTCATCAGACAATGAACAAATACACAGCTCAGCACTTATATACAGCACAAACCTAAATCACATGAATCACCCACATGGCAAAAAATAAAAAATAAATACACACAAGGGCAATCAACAAACACATCACATAAGGGCAATAAACATATCGCATAAAAGTGAAAACAACGATTGACTGAAAACACTTAACCATATACATATCAAGAAATACCTGACTGCAAAAAATAAAATAAAATATATATCAATAAACAATATCTAACACAAAAATCAACCAAAAAATACTTAATTGCAAAAAAAAAAAAAAAAAAGACCAACACCAAATCAAAATATAATATCAAATATAGTGTAATAAATCCAAACAGATAGATCAATGTTATAATTAGAGAAAAGCTTCACGTTTTAAAAGTAAGTTATTAATGTCTAAACTTCAGACAGTGTCGTGCAACTGGACTTCTAGTTGTTGTAGTTGTTTTACAAGAAATCGTTCCTCGGATCTTAAAACTTTTTCCTGTAGAGGGATGATTAAAAGTTTGTGTTTTATATGTAAAATTGCATTGTTGACAGCCTCCACACTTATAATTACCAAAAGTTATATTACTTAAATGATGTGTTGGCTGTGGAACAGACAGATCTGCCCCAACCAGCAGATTACGCACATTAGGTGGTCTTTTGTAGACCACCCGATGTGGTTTGAAAAAAATCGATTACAACTTAGGGTCACTCTCAACAATGTGCAAGTATTTCTGAATTATACCTCCAATGTTTTTAGCCACCAGTATTTCTGAATTATACCTTCAATGTTTTTTTTTTAAGAAATAAAAAATTTTTTTCAGCAAAGACACATTAAATTGAAAAAAGTGACAGTGATGTTACAAAAGATTTCTATTGCAAATAAATGCTGTTCATTTGAACTTTCTATTAATCAAAGGATCCTGAAAAATGTATCACGTCTCCCCAAAAATATTAAGCAGCACAACTGTTTTCAACATTTATAATAATAAGAAATGTTTCCTGAACACCAAATCAGCATATTAGAATGATTTCTGAAGGATCATGTGACACTGAAGAGTGTCGGAGTAATGCTGCTGAAAATTCAGCTTTGCCCTCACAGGAATAAATGACATTTTTAAATGTATTACAATAGAAAACTGTTATTTTTAATATTAATAATATTTCACGTTATTACTTTTTTATTGTATTTGTTGTCAAATAAGTGCAGCCTTGGTGAGCATAAGAAAACGTAAAAAATCTTAGCGATACCAAAATTTTGAACGGTAGTATATATTTAAGATTTGAAAGCACTGCTTGTCTTATTGTCCATTTGTCAATTTGAGTTAATGTTTTTACACTTTTTATATGCTTGTCTCTGCAGGTTCTTTGTTCATTAGGCTACCATGTAGTCACATTTGATTATAGAGGTATGTTGAGTGTCAATTTTAATGCATTATCCTATCATGCAAGTCCGAATCCCATTCGCAGTCCTAGAGTGAAGCACCATGTGGTTTTGTTTGTTCGTGCAGGTTGGGGTGACTCTGAGGGAAGCCCTTCAGAGAAAGGCATGACATCAGACGCTCTCTTCCTCTACCAGTGGATAAAGCAGCGGATTGGCCAGAAGCCCCTGTACATATGGGGTCACTCGCTCGGCACAGGGTGAGATGAACTCGCCTGAGCCATCTGAAAGAGCACTGTTGATGGTGTTCTTTTCTCTAGATGTAGATTCTCTAGTTCTTGGAATAACATTTTAGCTTTCCTTTGATGTAAAGGAATTGATTGTGTAACTCCCTGTGGCATTTTTGAACTGCTGCTGATGCTGTACATTCCTGTTTTTCCAGAGTGGCCACTAACCTAGTGAGACGGCTCTGTGACAGGGGTACGTGAACATGCATTCATGCATTTGTGTTTTCTTGGAATGTTGCGACTGAAATAAATAGTAGCCAACAGTGTGAAACTACAAACCAAGCAGAAACTTCCAACAATGGCTTTATCCTTCAATGGCAAGCAGCCATTTACAAATCACTTTGAATACATGAATGAGTGCTATGTCGCCTAATTATTATTCATGAGAACTCATAAATAATGTCCCCAGAAGAAAAGCATAACCTTGTGGACTTGTCCCCACAAGGAAAAGGGACTAAATAATGATCAGGCTTTACACAGCCCTGGAAAATCTTGAAAATCCGAAAGTGTGATTTCAAGGCCTGGAAAAATTACGGAAATTAATAAAATCAATATACAGTACTGTTCAAAAGTTTGGGGTCAGTACTATTTTTTTTAAAGAAATGAACACTTCTGTTTATTAAAGATGCATTAGATTGAACAAAGCGACAGTAAAGACATAATGTTAAAAAATTATTTTTTTTTAAAATAATAGTAAGAAGAAGAAACATCTTCAGCACCACATCAGCATGCTAAATTATAAAAGTCTTAAGTTTTAATCATCAATAAATAACTGGATAAGTCATGGGAAATTCAAATTTATGTGTAAAATAACTAACGTTGTAATTTTGGTTTAAAATTAGTTGATAAATGTTATAATTAGCTCATATTCTGAACAGTGAATGTGAATTAAAGATCCGTAAATAAAGAGATTAGGAATATAATTTAATTTCTTTTAAGTAAGCGGTGACTGTGTTGATGTTTCAGAAATAGACAAGCTTTCATAGGCACTGACTTTACTGGATTAAGACTGAACTGATTTAATTGCCAAGCACTTCTAATAAGTCTTTAAGTTACATAAGCCTGTAGTTGAGGCACTATTTTAAACATGAAGGAATGTTGCAGACTTCCTTCCATTGTGCTTACAGGAACGCCCCCAGACTCCCTAATTTTAGAGTCACCCTTTACCAATATCAGAGAGGAAGCCAAGAGCCATCCCTTCTCTATGGTGAGAAACCAACTTCCTGTTCAATCTCAAGGTATCACATACTGCCTTTGTGCAACAAATAAACATGACTAACCTTGAACGTTGATATGTTAATTTGAACAGGTTTACAGATATCTACCAGGCTTTGACTGGTTCTTCCTGGATTCTATAACTGCAAATGACATTCGCTTTGCCAGTGACGAGAAGTAGGTTCTTCTGTTTATCTACAAAAACTGTTCCGTGTTTATATAGCACAGTGTCCTTGCAGCTGTGTTAAGATAATCATCTCAGGTCTCTGTTCTGTAGCGTTTTCACATGCTGGAGTCTTCGTCTTCCTCTGAGAACTTGCTTTAGAAACAGACTTGATGTACATGTGTATAAATAAACCGCTTTAGTATTCAGCGGCATGTGGGCATTGATTCTTGAGTCATAGATGGTGATCATGTATTTCATTACACAAACCTCCAGTGCAAGGTCCCAGACTATAAAAAACAGACCTGTGTCCTGAATCCCTATAAGGGAGTACTTATTTTGAGTTTTTGAGTATCTCAAACTACTGAATTGTGTCTGTTTGTCTCTTAGTGTCAACCACATATCCTGTCCAGTTCTGATCCTGCATGCAGAAGATGATGCTGTTGTACCCTTCCAGCTGGGAAAGAAGGTAAAACATCAGTGTCAGACAATGAGAGGGTTCATTTAAAACTGTAAAACGGATACTTCAGACTCTAAATTCTGATTGGATGAGCCATGTTCAGAGCTATTGTAAAAGCACATGATTTTAGTTTTTTAAAAGCACTTTTTACATTTATCTGCCACTGTTGTCAGGCTAAGTAACACAGTTTTGCATTATAAGTGTGAGGATATGTATTATTAAACAACCTGTTACATATCAAACCAAAATCATATATTGAAAAAAGTTACATTAAAACTGGTTTTGTTTTGTTCAGAACGAAGCAAAACCTAAATATCTCAATATAAACCACCGGTATCACTTCATTACTTTCATTATGCTATATAAAACAGAACTACAGTGCTATAGCTATTTGAAGTATAATAATAAATATGTATTTCAACAACAATAACATTAATAGCTCCTAATGCATTAATAATAATAATAATAATAATAATAGTCATAATAGCTCCTAATGCATTTGTTTTTTTAAAGATCTTAATCTATATAAAACAGAACTACAGTGCTTGAAGTATATGAAGTATAATAATAAATATGTATTTCAACAACAATAACATTAATAGCTCCTAATGCATTAATAATAATAATAATAATAGTCATAATAGCTCCTAATGCATTTGTTTTTTTAAAGATCGTAATTTTTTTTCTCAGCTGTATGATTTGGCAGCTCAGAGCAAGAGTCTGAACGGTCATAAGGTTCAGTTCATCCCATTCCCCAGCTCTCTGGGCTACAGACACAAGTTCATCTACAAGAGCCCACAGCTACCAAATATACTCAGGTGTGTACGCTTTACAAACTGCTGCTATTTGTATTTTTTCCCATTGCTTAGTGTCGACAAAACAGTTTGGCTACATTCATCTTTTTATTCAATTGGATGAGAATACAAGCTATTTTTAGGATTGTGTCAGGTGGTGTAGTTTTTACATTCTGCTCCAGGTCCCTGACAAACAGCTGTGGCGATAGTAATTCAGACCGAAGTCACTGTCTATATGTTCCAGTTTGTGCTGATACTGAACCAACAACCCTGTCTGAATACAGAGATATGGTTTTATTTGAGATGGGGCTGTTGCTAATTATCTTTCAGAGAGGCACACCTGTACATTTCTTTAGGAAGAACACCAGAGGTCAAACATTTTGTCAACTGAACTGCTGTGATCTAAATTATTTCTATGAAGTAGCCTGAGATTTTAAAGGGGTCATATGACGTTGCTAAAAAGAACATTATGTTGTGTATTTGGTGTAATGCAATGTGTTTATGTGGTTTAAGGTTAAAAAAACACATTATTTTCCACATAATAAAGAAAAATTGAAATCGCATCATATGACCCCTTTAAGTAATAATGTTTAGTTTTATAAATGAAATTATTAATTCAATTGAATTATTGACTTATATTTGTCAAATAATATATATTTTTATATATATATAATTTTATTTGAATTTTATCATATTTTTAAGTTTTAAATTAATTTAAAATAAATACTAACAATTTGTTATTTAAATTCAGTTAAATTATAAATATTGTATATACCAAAACACATTTGGACAATGTGTCCACATGTGGATTATATTAATTTGCATTAGATAACAAAATAAATATTTGAAGACTTTTTTTCAGAACTACCTTGCATAGACATTTCTTTTTTCAATTACTTTTAACCAACTGGTTGCGAGGTCATTTTTACTGGATATATTTAATATAGCTATCTTATTTTTGAGCATTATATTAATTGTTTTATAATTGGAAAAATACTTTTTTTGTGAAACATTTAATGGACAAGTGTGCCTTTTTTTATTGACACAGTGACACAGATGTGTAATTGAAGCATCAAAATACTTAAGGGCCACTATATACATTTAATAGAATTTATATTGATTTAAATACATATTTTTATTTAGTTTAATTGAACATTATATTTTCTATAAAAGTGTTGCAAACCCTGGTCAGGAAACCCAGTGGTTGAGTTTAATAAATATTTTCACACTTTGGTTGGAAATAAAACCTAATAGATGGGGATTTTGAGAAGTCTAATGTGTTGTTGTTCTCTTTGTCTCTGTCTCAGTGATTTTCTCAGTGCGCCGCATCCTCACGTGTAGTCAGGATCATTTCAGCTGACTGCCCTCTCTCACACACTCTCAGTTACACACACATACACAATGTACATGATCTGCACCATGTACTTCATGTGTACATGCACACACAAGCATGGACTGAAGATGCACCAGTTCTTTTGCATTCCTTTGTTAACTTAAAACCTACGGAGGGAGAAAGTTATTGTCATTTGGAGAGTGACAGGGCTGGGTGATTTCTTACACCGCTTCCTGTTGCCATGGTAACAGATCTGAAGGGGCAGCTGGAGCACAAAGTATGCAAAATAATATGCAGATATGCACTGAAATAATGCTTAAGTCAACAACCCTCTTCTAAGGAGAGACATAATGATAAAGTTTTAGCGATGGCACTGCGAAGACCACGCAAGGATTACAGTCAATGGGAAGAAGCAGGACAACATATTATAATGATGTTATTGTCAGTGCTTGCTGACTGCGATTCACTCCTTTTTTATGAACATACAATAACAAACTTGACGACAATATCATGGACCTTATTTCAATTCTGAAATCCACTCAATGTAAACAGCGAGTTATTTTAGGTTGAACTTGAATTGTGTACAATAAATGTCTTTTCTTTTTTTTCTGTCTTTATTTTTCTCCCAATTTAAATAATGATTTAAATTGCAGAATTTTATGCTGCCTTGGCATTAAAACTGTGATATTTTTATGGGATGTATTGTGCTTGTGCTGTTGTGTTTAGTTGATACTAATGCAACTCGGCTGCAATCAGAACCGAATGCGCTTTTGAAATGACAATGTTGACAGATGTTTCATTATTTTAATGCATTTGGTTGATCAATACTAAAAGAAAAATTGAAATCGCATCATATGACCCCTTTAAGTAATAATGTTTAGTTTTATAAATGAAATTATTAATTCAATTGAATTATTGACTTATATTTGTCAAATAATATATATTTTTATATATATATAATTTTATTTGAATTTTATCATATTTTTAAGTTTTAAATTAATTTAAAATAAATACTAACAATTTGTTATTTAAATTCAGTTAAATTATAAATATTGTATATACCAAAACACATTTGGACAATGTGTCCACATGTGGATTATATTAATTTGCATTAGATAACAAAATAAATATTTGAAGACTTTTTTTCAGAACTGCCTTGCATAGACATTTCTTTTTTCAATTACTTTTAACCAACTGGTTGCGAGGTCATTTTTACTGGATATATTTAATATAGCTATCTTATTTTTGAGCATTATATTAATTGTTTTATAATTGGAAAAATACTTTTTTTGTGAAACATTTAATGGACAAGTGTGCCTTTTTTTATTGACACAGTGACACAGATGTGTAATTGAAGCATCAAAATACTTAAGGGCCACTATATACATTTAATAGAATTTATATTGATTTAAATACATATTTTTATTTAGTTTAATTGAACATTATATTTTCTATAAAAGTGTTGCAAACCCTGGTCAGGAAACCCAGTGGTTGAGTTTAATAAATATTTTCACACTTTGGTTGGAAATAAAACCTAATAGATGGGGATTTTGAGAAGTCTAATGTGTTGTTGTTCTCTTTGTCTCTGTCTCAGTGATTTTCTCAGTGCGCCGCATCCTCACGTGTAGTCAGGATCATTTCAGCTGACTGCCCTCTCTCACACACTCTCAGTTACACACACATACACAATGTACATGATCTGCACCATGTACTTCATGTGTACATGCACACACAAGCATGGACTGAAGATGCACCAGTTCTTTTGCATTCCTTTGTTAACTTAAAACCTACGGAGGGAGAAAGTTATTGTCATTTGGAGAGTGACAGGGCTGGGTGATTTCATACGCCGCTTCCTGTTGCCATGGTAACAGATCTGAAGGGGCAGCTGGAGCACAAAGTATGCAAAATAATATGCAGATATGCACTGAAATAATGCTTAAGTCAACAACCCTCTTCTAAGGAGAGACATAATGATAAAGTTTTAGCGATGGCACTGCGAAGACCACGCAAGGATTACAGTCAATGGGAAGAAGCAGGACAACATATTATAATGATGTTATTGTCAGTGCTTGCTGACTGCGATTCACTCCTTTTTTATGAACATACAATAACAAACTTGACGACAATATCATGGACCTTATTTCAATTCTGAAATCCACTCAATGTAAACAGCGAGTTATTTTAGGTTGAACTTGAATTGTGTACAATAAATGTCTTTTCTTTTTTTTCTGTCTTTATTTTTCTCCCAATTTAAATAATGATTTAAATTGCAGAATTTTATGCTGCCTTGGCATTAAAACTGTGATATTTTTATGGGATGTATTGTGCTTGTGCTGTTGTGTTTAGTTGATACTAATGCAACTCGGCTGCAATCAGAACCGAATGCGCTTTTGAAATGACAATGTTGACAGATGTTTCATTATTTTAATGCATTTGGTTGATCAATACTAGTTTGCATGCCTGTTACTGGAAAAAGATTGTTGCACAGTCAAAAGATAGCAAAACTGTATGAGAAAACCTTTCCTTTTCTTGGTTATGTGGGTTATATATTTTCTTTGGCCTTTGTACTTTCAGTTTGCACATTACAAAAAAAGAAATAAAATTAATTATTACCATATGTTGAATACCAAAATCAAAAACAAATGCTAAAAGAATGACTTTGCTCACCAAGGCTGCTTTATGATTGATCAGAAGTACAGTAAAAACAGTAATATTGTTAAATATTATTACAATAAGTTTTTAATATATATATTTAATATATTTTAAAATGTAATTTATTCCTGTGATGGCAAAACTGAATTTTCAGCAGTCATTACTCCAGTCTTCAGTGTCACATGATCCTAATCATTCTAATATGCTGATTTGGTGCTCAAAAACATTTTTCATTATTGTCAATGTTGAAAACAGTTGTGCTGCTTAATATTTTTTGTGGAAAACATGATGCATTTTCAGGCTCCTTTGATTAATAGAAAGTTCAAAAGAACAGCATTTTTTTTTTTATAGAAATGTTTTGTAACATTTTAAATGTCTTTACTGTCACTTTTGATCAATTTAAAGCCTCCTTGCTGAATAAAAATATTAATTTCTTTCAAAAAAAAAATAAAAATCTTACTGACCCTAAAATTTAGAACTTTCTTTAACAAGCCCATTCTAATTTATCCAAAATTCACTTTTAGTGTATCTTGCAATGTAATTGTGTCCTTTAATTTGGTAGAATATGTGTAATGGATTTCAACATGCACAAAGTAAATGAGGCAATACTCAAGTCAAGGACTTGGATACCAAGATCCATGACTCTACGAAACATTGAGCAATAATGACATATCTTTGATTTGCTAACATCTAGTCATGTAAATATGATAAATATATTTTCTTCACTGTGCACTGACCATTTGATAATTCTTATCTGCATATTTAAAGTTATTTTCACTGTAATACAGACCCTTTAAGACTCAAAATCTGCTGTATTGTTGCTCTGTGTGTCAGGTTGTATTTGTTTTTTATTAAAATTTTCTGCTCAGTTATTTTTTTCTAGGGGTGATGATGGTAACAAGGTCATGTGTGCATGCAAGCTTCAATCGTAGATCTAGGCTCTCTGCTGATGTTATTCTCAGAAAGAAATTGTATCACAATAATTTTAATAAGTTTTCTTCTGCCAGTGTCTGACTGATGCACTGAAAGAAAAACAACAAAAATCTCTTTGTTTGTGAAGAACTATGTAGAAATGATCATTTTAGCAAGATCACCAGGCCCTAGAGAAGTGCAATAATATTATCTAAAGCTGAAGGACAACCATATGTAAGACCCCCCAAAAAATAAAAACTAATTTTATTTATATATATATATATATATATATTAGAAATTGCATGTTTATATAAAAATTGTTTGTATATACTTTTTATATAATTATATATATTTACATAATTTATTATTATTTTTAGGATGCTGCAATTTTAAAAATCATTTAAAATCCAGATAAGCTTTACAGATCTTGTAAAGGGTTTTTCATACTTATTCAGTCAATCATAAACTACTATCACACATGCACCTACAAGGAACAGCGCTTAAGAGACTAAACATTGATAGGCAAAATGCAAACGTGCAACATATAACTATATGACCCCCAGTTGTGCTTGAGAACTTGCTGATGCCCTGCTGGAAGAGTGGAGAAACATCTAACAGCAAGAACTTACAAATCGTGCATTCAATAAGAATGAGATGAACTGTACTCAAAGCAGCTGATGCACACAAGAGACTTTTGATATTGACCCCTCCTTGGTTTTGGGACTCATTATTCCATTTCTGTTTGTTAAATGTGCTTGAAGCATGTTCAGTTTATGTGTCAAGGTAATACAAATATTAACACACGTTCAGAAATTTGCTGGAAATAAAAGCAGTTGAATGTGAGGATGAAGCTGCTCACTTATATATTCCATTGTACTAGAATGTAAAAATGGACCACAGAATATTTGGACGTTACTGCTCTGAACACAGATTTCATTCTGCCATCTTTGTTGATGTTGACCAAATTTTGCATATTTGAATTCAACATTTTTTTTTTATATATAATGAAATGAAATACTGCCCAGTTATTTCAACAACAACTGTTACTTTTTGCGAACTGTATCATGAGTGGTTTACAATGTTTGTTTTCATCTAAGCTGCTGAACCTTACTGGACACATGCACAGATGCAAGTACAGTATGTTTGTTTGTAAACAATAAAGGACTGGAAAAGAAATGTATTGCTTTCTGATATCCATTAATTACAAGGCTTTTATACAAAATTTCATTTTTTCAAAAATTTCAAAACGGTGTTTATTTTTTACAGCAGAAAAAATATATAGTTATAATAAAAAAATTATAGATATATATTAGTAGGGTATAACTAAGGGAGGCACTTTGAAAAAAATAATTAAAAAAAGAAAACCTTGCACTTGGTTTTCTACTTTTAGAATATAACAATTTGGAGAAAAGGTTCCACTATTAAAAGTTGTGAATAGTCTAGCATTAAACTGCTTTTCTTGTAAATATAATACCCTCACAAACCACAATGACCGGTTGTTAAAGCAGTGCAGGGAGGCACGTATATGAAGCTTGGGGTATTTTAACTGAATTAACATGCTGATAGGCTGTTTTGTTTACCATGTATCAGGTTTAGGCAATACCTCATTCATGTGTACACTTTTACCACACCCAGCACCTGTTCAAGTCATTAATTTCTATTCCGAATGATTTGAATATTGCGTTACATGACAACAGCATTTAATCTTTAAAACAACGAACAGATTCTATTGCTCCAACGTCCAATTAGAATTGCCTTTAGTCATTTTATTATTTGTTAACATGGTTTTAAAACCATTAATTGTATACAGTACTTGTGTAAAAGGTAGCAAGACAACAAGGCCTCAGTACAATGTGTGAATGTTAAAAGTCACATCCATAAGCATACATTCAAACGACAGACCACAATCTGAAATGCTGTTTAGAGCTGAAACTCAAGCCAGGGTTTGCTTTATGAATTTCCATTTGCCAAAGTTCAAGCTGCTTTGTAAAATGAACAGGTACAATGACACAAATCTCGTGATTTGGTAATACAATGTGAAATAGTAAAGCGAATTGAATCAGCTTCCACCCTGACAAAAAAGCAACTATAACACTAAAAGACACACATGATGGATTCCCATGAGTTTACATCAGCCAGCTGCAATATATTCTCTATTCTCATTGTTTTATGAAGCATTTAAAAAGGTATGTGTTCTCCTATTGTTGTTAATATTGCACAGTATATGCACATAAGGCACCCTTTAACCTGCTTCTGAAAGCTTGAATAAAAAGATCATTTGGACACTGAACAACCACATCACACATCAGGAGGCATTACATCAATGCTGTTTGCATAGGTTACTTTTTTATGGCTGTTGTTTTTGCATATGTTACTTTTTTAAGGCTGTTGTTTCTGACTGGTTATATCACATATTTTAAAGCAAAAAGACTATTTCTACTGAATTTAAACAGACCAAAGGTGGTTGCTGGTCAAATAGTTTGTCATACATTTAAGAAATATTTCAGGATGTGAATGATAGTCAAGTCTCCAATGGTTTTCAGTTGCTGATTTGGCTTCATAAAATACTCAAAGGCTCTTGTTCGGTCCCACTGTGTTCTTGAAATTAGTTGTCCTTAAAAGGAACACTCCACTATTTTTGAAAATAGGCTCATTTTCCAACTCCCCTAGAGTTAAACAGTTGAGTTTTACCGTTTTCAAATCCATTCAGCCGATCTCCGGGTCTGTCGGTAGCACTTTTAGCTGTAGCTTAGCATAGATCATTGAATCTGATTAGACCGTTAGCATCTCACTCAAAAATGACCAAAGAGTTTCTATATTTTTCCTATTTCAAATTCGACTCTTCTGTAGTTACATCGTGTACTAAGACCGACAGAAAATGATATTTCGCAGCGCCTGAAAATAGGCTAACTTCCGTCAAC